GCCAATCTTGACAAAGTTTACGAAAATAATAGAGGAATGAGAGTTCTTCAAACGGAGAGTCCCCATGCTTTCGAAAAAATCACAGTAACTTTTGTCACAAGGAAAATGATTCTATTTCAAAATAGGTCCGTCTTGGGACAAAATTGACGTGTATTTCAGATTCTTCAACATACGTTCTTCAATGAGTTATAAGAAAACGCCTGAAATATTTCTTTTCCGAAATTAAATCATCATCAAAAATATTTACCGTCCAAATCTGTATCTATTCGTATATCGATTTTCGGTGTCGTATGAAAAACTGTATTAGTTACCACACCAGCATGACCTCCATTTTCCTCTTCGGGATCGGATGTTGGTCTCTCGCAAATAACTTGATACTGATTATTGCAATAGTTGTCATTCCAGAATAAACCCTTATCTCTTTTGTGAATCAAGTGTAGGCAGAATTGAGTGTCACCATCTGGTTGACCTGGCAACCAGTTGGTGTATTCGACCCTTGTTCCTTTTGTTAGCCACACCCAAGTTTTTCCATCCAGAAGTTTCGTCCCAGATGTCCACCAATAGTCACCAATACCTACAATGAGAATAGAATTACTTTTAATTGGAAAAATTGTTTCTAATGTGGAAGAAGAATCCGCTACTATTTGGAAGAATTCGCTTCAACCACCCTTCGTTCGATAATGAAGATATTTTTCATTCAGAAATAATAATGTCCCCGCCATGTCTGCCTGACTGAACGCGATGATCTCAAAAACTACCAATTGTAGTACGGAATAATACAAGTTTATATGAATAATTCATCAATGTTTTGTGTGAATTTGCTGAAATATGAAATACGATATTATCCATACGAAGCTACTTAATACCTTTGTGATAGGTACATCAAAAGAATCCATTATATATTGCTCCGTTATGGCATATATTCATGTCGACACAAATCCCGTGATTTAACGATCACAAAAAAATTCGTAAAGGCTCTCAATCAGGAAATTCTTCGTTGTAGCCTTCTATTTGATACCATAGGTATCAAATAGAAGTCTACAAATTCAAAGAAATGTTCGTTTCTGCATACACCAGATCGTTCTTCTCGAATTTGGAAAATATCTCACTATTTCTAAACAAATCGATGTCCCGAAGCCTACGAGGCATGACACTTGAGCGAGTGAGCAGGTCAAGGGCTTTGCGAAATTCGTTGGTAGACACAGGTATCTTGGTTGTATCTTAGAGTGTGATGCTTTGAATTTCCAAAGGAATGTGCCTTTTGAAAGAATTCAGAAAAGACGTTCATGAACTTAACTGTGATCGCTAGCGGTAGATCCTTAACTCGCCGACACATAACACTTTAGTCATGAACTCGCGGCAGCCAGAGTGTTCAACCTCGTTGATGACTGAGGAGTACCGAGAGGAGTGTCATATTGATACTGATGTCGTTCAAGGTCGTGAGAAAGGAAAGTTCTTGAGTCGCAAGAGGTGATCTCACTTATTGCCAAGGCCAAATGGGTGGGATTGAGTGGGTTCACGCCTCAAGGTCAAGGGAGATCTTATGCTTTGAAGCCGAAATGAAGAAGTAGTGATCACTGCTGAGCTATGGTTTGGATCAACTGTGCCGGCTAGGCAGGGAACCTATCGGTTCAAATTGTTTTTGAATTTTTGTCGCTCCCCTATATAATCTTGTAAAGTAGCTCTGACTTTTGTTGAACAGATGGATTTCTTCAAACTCGATAACGTAAGTACTTCCTCTGAATGTATGTTCCGATATTGCTGATTTGTCGGTTACGTCATTGGCATCAGTTTTTCTGCGTTCGAACGCTTCTTTCTCAGGTTCCAATGAGAAAATGAGATTTCAACATATTCTCTTATATCTCAAATCTGTTAATATTTTTTGAAGGGTGGAAGTCCAAAATTTTGACATTCTTTTCAATGCCTTCAACTAGGCTCTGTAGAACGGAGAAGCCTCCCAACTAGTAAACGATATGAATTGGTTATAAAATAGTCAATTGGTTATAAAATAGTCAATTGAAGAATGTATCCTACTTTATGCATAATAATTCAGGAACGCACGATCAATGAATGAAACTGTGACCAACTTCACATAGAATTCCGTGAAACTGGATGATTTTTTTATATATTGTAAATGAATATAAAAGTAACTCAAAAACTTACTTATCCTCTATTGTTTCATACTAGTAGGTAAAACTCACTTGTATCTCGGATATATTTTCTTATTCTTTCATTCTCTTCAGCTGACGAGATGGTTACCAATTCCATCTTGATGATTTTACAGAATTGTATAGCTTGCATGTAGTTAGCCTGGAATATTGAATCTTAAAGTAACAGTTCGAATGCTATTGAGATTTATCTGAGTTTGATAAAGGTTTCAAAGGTTTTTATTTGCTAAATTAATTGAAGCGAGTCACATAATGTACTTTATAATCGCTTTCCCAGATCAAATGGACTTGAGGTGAGTTTTTAAGGAACTTTGTAGAGTTACTCAATACAATCCTCAACAAATATCTTATTTATTTCTATATAATTTTCAATCCATCTTTAATAAAACTTATTGGTCCTAAAACGGACCTTTGAGAATGTTGGAATTCATCATGATTTTATTGTAGTCATCACATGAAAGACAATTCAATTAGGTTAGGTTTTTTCGTGGAAAAATATAAAGGTAGGTATTATCAAAACTCTGGGAAGGCCTCAACCAAATTTGATTTCAATTAAAGCGTCAGATAATTGACAAAATCGAGGATTTAATATCAGTTGGTACGATAAATGCGATTGGTTAACCGGCTCCATTAAACGAGAAAAAAATTTTTGTTGGTCTGTGTTTTATTTTCCATACAAACCGAATACCAAACATGGTCTAAAATATGATACTCCGATTAAAAAATTTCCCTCATTCTACAGAAAAACATTTTAAATCTAAGGAGCATATATGTTTGTCTTGTGGATTAAAATTGTTTAGCAAAAAAAATATAGCAACAGCTTTAGATACAGCTCAAAAAGAGGCAATAATTTCTTTTTATAATCAGGTTAGGAAAAATCGGTCGAATTCAAAAAGACTTATCGATATTACGATTTATTTGGGTTCCCAATATCCAGTACCACTTGTAGAATTGACAAACTAAAACTAGAAACCATTAGAGTAATGTTGAGATATATTTTCAGAGATTCATACATTGTTTCATTAGCGAGAAACGAAATCTTTCTGTATCAGAATGCAGTTCTATAGAAAAAATTATTTCCTATTCCCTTTATAATATACGTGATCAAGAAAATATAATTTTCGAAACACTAGGAGTTCGAGAATCATCTAAAAAAGCTAAAAGAGGTTTGATAGATGGAATAGGATCTGTTTCAAAAACATTATTTAGCACACTTGATGAAGACGATGCTGTCTATTTCAACTCTCAAATCAACACGTTGAAGAAAAATCAGGAACACCTAAATACATTATTGAAGCAACAAACATCAATAGTGCAAAATACTGTTCATTTAATAAACAGAACAAATACTTACTTTGATAATTTCGATACCAAAATAAATAGAATTGTAAAATCTGTTAATGATCTGAATGAAAATATTTCAAATTTTGAGATAAAAGACCATCCTACCCTTGAGGTGAATGAACTGGTATCTATATTTGATTTGATTTTAACTAGATTCAAATTGAATCAAAACAATTTAGTTGAAATAATTTCATTCGCACAAAGAGGAATTTTACATCATTTAGTAATAAGTCCAATGAAATTTATACACGAAGCATCCAAAATTCAGAATTATAGAAATTAACTTTTGTTCTTTATATACCACTTATTGAAAAACGCGACTATGATGTATTCAAAATGTCTAGTTTTCCCGTACCTTTAACAAATAATATTTTTGGATTTATCTTACCTCAAGAATCATTTTTTGTAACCGATTTCAGTAAACAATATTTCTTTTTCATGAATGACTTTGAACTATTCAGTTGTAAACATGTATTAGCTGATAGGTATTATATGTATATGTAAGCATAATAAACCAATTCATTTAGCCCACCTACATAAAGGTTGCGAATCAAATGTGTACATGCCTACTACGTCCATTCCAGACTCCTGTGATAAAAGAATCACACATATAAAAGAATCACTATTTATTCAGTTAGCAAACAAAAATTCGTGGCTTTTTGTTGCACCACATAAAGAATATGTGGATTTGAAATGCAGATCGATTGAGGGAAGACAAACAATTACTTTAAATGATACTGGAGTTTTGAGTATCAGTTCAAATTGTTCAGTATACTCGAAATCAGTCATTCTTACACCTCACGAAGAGTTTTTTAGTGAAGTCATAACTCACTATATCGCTCCTTTGAACTTAAAAAAAGAAATAAATTCAAATTTATCAAATTTTGTTTTATCGAAAATAAAGCCAATTGAAACACCTCTCGTTATGAATTCAAAGAACTGTCATGATTTGAAAGAAATAAGTCATAACTTGCAAAAACTTCAAGAGAATGAAAATGAATCGCTATCTACAGTAAACAGAACTGACCTAGTTCACCATGGAATATTATATTTCATTGTGTGTTTGCTATTTTGCCTTTTAATATTCTACATTCTGCGAACTTTGCATAAGCGATATGAAAGTGAATCCAATGTTTCCTTGCATTCCTCGAATGAAATTGACGTTACAGGGGGAGCACAAAAAACTGAAGAAATAAAAAGTCAATTAGATCACATTGCACTGGAAGGTAGTAGTAAAGCATCACGAGTTAGTGAAAATTGCACCTTGCCTAGGTACAATTTTCAAAATTAGGAGGGAGGTGTTGTAATGTAATTTCTTATTATTATCATTATTATTTCCTTGTTTCATTATTGAGAATCTAGTCCATGAATTATTTCTGTTCATCTTGCAATTACTTGGTTGAATTTAGAAATGTATGTTTTGCTGACAATACTTCATGAAGTTCGTTGTCGTTATCAACTCATTTCAACTTGTTTAATTTCTATTGGCTAGAATTTGAAAGGTAAAACAGTAACTAGCGTCTATGATCACGTGACAAGGAACTTCATAAAAAGCGAGTGTTCTTTTGTTTGAGGGAACACTTACACTTGCATTAGCATTTTGAACAGACGACATGTAAATTGTTTATCAAAACCTGTACTCTATTTTATCTATTCCGGCGACTTGTTGTGTTTTTGTGGTGAATAGAAACGTTTTTCTGCATTGAAGTTTTTCATTCCAATCATCTCCAACAAGATTACATGAGCATTCAACTATGAGAAAGCTTTGTTCGAAGTGAGTGCCGCGCAAGCTCACTGTTGAGGAAAAACAAGAACGTCTTGATGATTCTGAGCAGTGTTTTGCCATGTTTGAACATAACGAATCAAAATTTTCGCGCGATATGTGACAATGGATGGAACATGGATCCAAAACTTCACTCCGGAACCAAAACGATCATCATCTGAGTGGAGAGCAACTGGTGATTCTCGTTCAAAACGCTCGAAAGCACAACAATCGGCTGAAAAGGTTATAGCCTAGGTTTTATGTGATGTGCGTGGTGTAATTTTCACCGACTATCTTGGGAAAGGATATATTATCAGCAGTAAATTTTGCATAGCATTATTGGAGCGTTTGAAGGCCGAAATTTCAAGGAAACAACCGCATATGGCAAAAAAATGTGTTAAAAGTAAAACAAAACAAAAGCAAAACTACATGAATTGAAATTCTAATTGCTTCCACATCCACCGTATTCACCAGATGTGGTTTCCAGTGACTACTGGCTGTTTGAAAATCACAAAAAAATTTCATCGGTATGGAAAATGAAAAGTTTATTGCTGAAACTAAGGCCTATTTACAAAAGTGATATTGAAATGTTAGAGCGGCGCTAGAGGGATTTTTTGGTTCTTGGTGAACGCAATTCTCGAACAGAGTTCGTTTGCATCTTTGCACATTTAAACTACTTCAGTCTCTGCTTATGCAAACTTTGTATCGAGTTCTTGACGAGCTTCATTATTCACTTTGATATCCTGATCATTGTTATCATATTTCTAAATTGCCGTCTATGCGTTTGTAAGGCAGTATTTTATATTTTTTTATATCCCCACATCTTTATATAGTTGACTGAAACATAAAAGTGGGTCACCATTCAAATTACCTTTAATTTCTTAGGTATACCATCAGCCTTTTTTTCGAACAATAATTTTTTTCTGGATTTTTTCCTGCCGCACACTATTTTTGGTTTGTTTTCTATGCGTGGAAAGGTAGAATTTTTGAAAGCAATTGGTTGATAAGATTCTGATGCATCTGAAATCTCAATAAATTCATTAATATCAAAATCAGTGATGAACTTTCGAGATGATAAATATGGTACTGTAATATCTTCAGAATCAACACTAATAATATCAGCCAGTAGTTTATTTGATGATTTATATGCAATTGCAACACTTATTATAGGTTGTGTACCATCTTCAATGATCACTATGGGATTTATAAGACCTGGTGCGCTTTGCGATGGAAACTATGACTTGATAATTGGCACAGGAGGATGAAACAAATTCTCAAGTCTTGTGATATTTGTCAAAGCGCAAACTGTGCGGAGATACCTAGGCCACCTCAACAGCCTATAGCGCCTCCTTCCAAAGATGACATTTTAACGCTGAATTTGTATGGACCTCTAATCAAGAGAAGATGTGGTGTTACATGCCTTTGGGTCGTGGTAAATTTTTTCACTGAACATGTGGCCCTACTTAATCTATTTTGAATCGTTCAATTCAAGATTACTTTCCTAAAAATGGACCGCCGAAAAGGGTCCTGCAGCCAGTTCACTGGTCGCCTTTGGAAAACACATAGAGTGAATCGAATATTCAAGTTGTATTTTGCTTGGTGCGATATGCAGCAGCAAATCCCTCCAAACGGATTATGCGGGAGCTGAATAGACTGTTCAGGATGTACTGCCACCAAAATTTCAGGTGTGCCTATGAAGTACCTGCTTTTGAGGAATGTTTGAGTTCAGTAGTACACGAGTCTATAAGGTTTGAACCTAATGAATTACAGTATGGAATGGATTCGTCTTTACTTTTGCCTGTGGCCTATCGATTCTTAGGCGAAACTCGACCTAATGTTTTTCCGGAACTATAATTGGTTTTGGCGGAAGCCACATTGAGAGAAAAGGTTGCCCGAAGGGCTGAAAGATATCCAGGTAAACCTTACCGAGAGTTTTCCGTTGGAGAACTAGTCTGGTTGCGAGTGAATACCATCTCATCGGCGTTGAGAGCTAAAATCAGAAGTTTTTATACGAGGGCCCTTCTCGAATGAAAAAAAAAGTTAGTTTTGCTACCTTC